CCGTGCCCCGTGCCCCGTGCCCCGTGCCCCGTGCCCCGTGCCCCGTGCCCCGTGCCCCGTGCCCCGTGCCCCGTGCCCCGTGCCCCGTGCCCCGTGCCCCGTGCCCCGTGCCCTGTGCCCCGTGCCCCGTGCCCCATGATATTTTAATAAATAATATTAATAAATATAATAATAGTTTCGCGCCATGCTGTGAAGTTACTTTTATTTCCTTCAGATTGAGGCTCCGACATCACGTTACTCGAAGTCTCGAGCCGACCAATCAGGTAGCGCTCTTAAAATAGCTTAGCTATGGACAGAAAATTAAAAATGGATTTCAAAATATTACTTGGAAGAGACCCATGCTTCTCTTAGATCATCCTCTCTTGCTATTGAGTACTCTCATGAACAAGCTGATCTTGAAAAGGAACAAAAATACTTTTATTTTACATACCCTAGAAATGGGTGTCTGAGGGATTTGTCTTACACGTCTAACAATAACATTTTAATCACCCATCATAAAGCCATTTCATGACATGTAGGTAAATTAATGCCACCTCGATACGTCATCACAGCCGCACAACATTAGTGCCCAATCCAGATTAACTAATATTTTCTTCTTTATTTTGCAGATAATCATGCTAATTGTGGAACTATCGTCCAAAGTATCAGTGATCAGGAGATGATATTCTAAAAATTTAAAAATACCCAGCTACTGGCTTATATATATACAGCTCTATATAGTCAATTGAGTACTTGACTATGGGTCGTTTGCATCACTTGGTCACTTAAATGATAGCCATCATTAAAAAAATTATCGGTAAATATAATAGCCTTAGTCAATCCTCAAGAGCCAGGCACTCGGTGCTTAATACTGCAATGAACTCACGGCTCTCAACTGTACTATAACTGTATTATATAACAGAGTCCGGGATCAGTACAAATGCTCGTGTTCAAATGGACTAGAAATAATGATTCATGGATAAAGTCTTCCTTCAACCCTCGAAATTATGTCAGACAGGGCAATAATCAGAGCCTCTATCTGTGACCATCTGTGCTGATTAATGACACAGCGTAGTTACACCTTCGGCTATTTTTAGAATCGTTCTCCTGCGAAATATAATAATTTGTGTGCGAAATAGTGATAATTCGTAATAATGACATTCCGCCGTTCTAGTTCTTATTCCACGTTCCTCTCGTCCATTCCTGATTTTATTTTTAATCTAAAACATGAATGACAACTTCGTCCTCGTGATTTTCGCGGCAAAAGTAATTATAAAAATAGCTCAATGTGTAACTGCGTCGTAGAAATTTATTATTATAATTTATGAATCTCGAATAGCCCGACAGGAAGAATTACAAAATTACACACATCTCACAAAAGACTTGAACAATCTATCGATGTACTCCAGGTAGATGTGTCATCCCCCCGTTGAAAACCACGTACGACTGAGTTGAGTTGTTCTTGTCAGTCATGTCACCACTGATAAATAATATACAAAATGAGATATACAATTAGTGGGAGACGTGGGAGGTGGCTTAATGGTTAATAGACTTAGTACGTTAACTTGGATTCCGGATCGATAGGCCCGGGTTCGAACTGACACAACACAACGGCCCAGGCCAAGGCTGAGGAAGCCGGCCACTTTACACAGCGCCTGTACCCATTTATACTCTCGGGTGGAGAAACTCAGAAAGGCGAATTGTTAGGGCAACCTGCAAACAAACTTCTCCTTGGACTTGTGACCCCATCCAATACGCATAGTCGCTTATACTGCATAAGCCTCAGGTATCCACCGAAACGTTGAAACGTTAACGTTGTTTATAGTCAATTTTACAGTAGTCTTTGGACAATTTCATTTTGCCTGATTAAGATCTTTACGAGACAACGTGACCGTGAAGTTTGTTTGTATTTCTTGCCCTGGTTTGAGAAACCTTTACTACTGCAATTTTATGGGAAATGTATTTATTTTTTTTCTAGTATTTAGTCTTAACGGGGAAAAAATAATGTTGATATAATTTGTTTTTCTTTAATCGAAAGTGAAAAATGCTGACGAACATGAAACGTGTTGGGGCTTGCGGATTAAATTTAACAAGTTACGTCATTCATGTCGATGGGGGATTTCCCACGACTTTTATAACTGGTATGAGTCACGGAAACGATAGAAATTAATCAGTGTTATCTGTGAACTCATTTCCAGGTGATTTGTTATGTTTCAACTTGCAATTGGTATGTTAAATTTCTTGTGAAATTCATTTTGCATGGATTATATACGTTTGATGACTAGGGTTTTGTGAACGTTTAGATGGGAAGTTGAGCTTAGTCTAAAGCCGAGTATAATATACTCTATACCGTGATTTAGTTGAATGATTTTTTTTAGACATAAGTTTGTGTGATTGTGGTAAAACGTCAGTTGTATTTTAAATTATCACAGATCATGGTTTTAGCGTGAAAAGAACATGTCATGTGAAAGTTCTCAAAAGCCGTTCCTTGATTCAGCGACTCGCTGTTTTATATTCATAATCATTATCATGTCCTGATGAGAACCCTGAGAGGTTGAAAGTTCTTGACATTAGTAACATTTTTCACGCTCCAAACTGTTGAAAACTATATAAATCTAGAAGAAAACTGTTTTATATTCAGAAGTGATTTACGTGCTTTCTTATGTTTCTGTTAAGTATTCGATGATCTAGAGAGTTTGCTCAAGCTTGCGTAATATATAGTTTGTAGAAGGAGAAAATCGCTGAGCAATTTGTGTCGTTCTGTTTCTTAACGCAGTTGTATGAATTGAAAGCGAATCAGCAATTTCAGGGATTTTAATGGATGTTTACGCGGTCTGGTAACAGGAACATATATTAATTATTCGATAACTGCTATGTTTTGGCGAATAAAATGGAGGTGATGTGTAATTTCTTGGAACGGTGCTGTTTTTTTTATGATAAATAAATGTTTCAGTGAGAACGGGAAGAAAAATAATATTGTCATCAATTATTGTTTATCTTTAGTCGAAAGGGAAAATTGCTGACGAACGTGAAACGTGTTGGGGCTTGCGGATTAAATTTAACAAGTTTCGTCATTAACTCGGTCGCGTGACTCCTCTAAAGCGGTAGGGCGAGAGCTGGGGTACTAGCGTAAAGTGCTGTTTGCGTTATGCAGTATTTTAAAATCATGTTAATAAAATGAAAACTTAATTCATTCCGAGCAGAATACATTATATGTTTCTATGCAGTAATGCAAATATGAACATATGTTGTGTTGTCGTTTGATTTTGAGGCAAATTGTGACGTCATAAGACATGTGACTACCCCAATTAAAATTTTAGAACTTCAAGGTCGCTATTAGCTTTTTTCAGTAAATTTTTGATGACTCTCAAACTTTTAACGAAATAGTTATCGAAGTACAGTGGAACCTCTACTTTGAGACACCCCCTTTAAGGGGACACAAACTTTTGTTGCTCATATAATCTTTGCATCGCTGTACCTCTATTAAACTGATTAAAGGCACACCTCTATTAAGGGGACACTTCTCCTTGTCCCAATGGTGTCCCATTAATGGAGGTTTCTTTGTAGAATTTTTAAACTTCGTGGAGGGTCTTGAAAAAAAAAAGAAGAGCCATGCTTGTGGGCAGCGAGTCAAGGATTGTCGGCCCGAATTCAAGCTGTGAACGTACAGCTTCTTGTTTCGTCTTGTTTCTGTTTGTCATTTCACTGCTGCAAGGATCAGCTAGCTCAGTAGAGCGCGCCGAGTTTTGGGCCGTGCGTAGGAAAAGTGCGCGCATCAGTGTCCCTCGTGCGCTCCTAGTCACCCAACAACTTATTAATTAGTGTGCTGTGTAATTCAGATTATAATTTCTTCATACAAGATACAATCCATCTCTAAAAGAAAGTCATAGAACAAATGCCTAAGAAAGATCAAGAAAGGCAACTTGTCGCCAAATCTTCACCAATCGACCAATCTCGTCCCCAGATCCCGCGCGTTTTCAAAAGGATCACGGGCTCTGGGAACGAGAGTCTGCACTTCGGCGTGTTGACATTTTAAACTTTTGGCGGCTGTTTCAATATTTTAACTCTTTATTATTTTAGTTTATACCTTTTAATATCCCTGAATATCTGTATGGAAGCTTCATCGCAGGTTTATACAGCTCTTTTCTACCAGTATTCAAGCCTCGTGTAGTCCAGGTTTGTACGTAGCAGTCATAAACCATAAACATCTCGACGTAGTAACACACAGTATCGACAAAACTGCGACAAAAGCATGATTGTCATTACAATGCTTCCTTTGTTCCACATTGGTTTGGTTTATTTTTCATTGTATTGTTGATATGTCGAGAATAGAAATATTATGCTGCTTATAGCCAGTGCCTTGCAGACTGCCTGTCTTGTTTGCAAACGTGATGTCAGCACGAGACGAAATGGCGTGACAGTGACAAGAAGCGGCAGGGATTATTTGCAGGTTGCAGAACAACTGCTAACCCAAACCCCAACAATTAGGCTAACCAAACTAGGCTAATCTTCGGTTAGAATTAGGCCAATCTTCAGTTGGGCGAATTTAAGCTAATTGGGATAACCGTGACGCCATTCTCTGCCTATATACCGTGTGTGTAATGTTTCTAAAAGTAGTCTCAACCTGCAACCTGCAACCTGCAAAATATACCTGCCCGACAAGAAGCCATACAATGAAACCTGCATGATTTGTGGCATTATAAAAACACTACTATACTAATAATAAAATAAATGATTACACCTTTTTGGGCTTGTTGCAAAACTGTCAAAAGTAAACTGCAAACTAATAAAATTTGAATATTCTGCTTCATATTTATTTTTAACTTGCAGAGCAGGAACACTGTGGTGACAAAATGCCAGACGTTGATCAAATAACTCAGATGAAAAAGGAAATACCATTGCCTTTTCAAGGATGACATGAGAAAGAAGAAACTATTGAATATTTCAAGGTTGGCATTTAGAATAATGTGGAAAAACCAATATTTCCATATGTGAATATTTACAATGCCAACACTGTGATAGACGCGGTGGCCTAATGGTTAGTGCATTCGACTCCAGATCGAGCGGTCTGGGTTCGAGCACCAGCCGGGGTCATTGTGTTATGTTCTTGGGCAATACACTTATTATAACTCTCACAATGCCTCTCTCCACCACCCAGGAGTATAAATGGGTACCGACGACAAAATGCTGGGGGTAAGCTGCGATGGACTAGAATCTGATCCAGGAGGAACAGCAATACTCCTAATCGGCTTCATGCTAGGGAAACCGAGATTATAAAGCTCTGGCAGTGTGCGCCAGTTGTCGGCCCTACCTAATGCCAACCCAGTTTGTTCAGTTCTTGATTAACCATTTCAAAAATCATACAAATATTCACAATGATGGTAATTATGCATTATTTACATTGTAATAAAAGTATTGTACAGTATTGTATTTAGGCCAAAGAGGTGGTCCCCCAGGTTGGGGCGGTGGGGGTGGGGGCTGGGGGATTATCTATACTGATGGAGATGCTTGTCGTACCTTTTAGGGGTTGAAATTTGTGTTTTGGTACCACTTAGGGCATTCTATTTCAAATATTTTAAACAATTGCTTCATATTATGGTGCCTCACAATATGGTACATTTTCATTTAGTAAGCTGCAAATTGCATGTAAACTAGTTGTCAATAAATGGAACTGAAATTTATCTGGTACATGGCTCTGCATGAAGACATGTATTTACCTTTCTTACTCTTTCTTTTCTTTACAATTAACAGACCAACAAGCTAACTAAATGTACATGTGGTGTTTGCACACTATTCAAAGAGGGGGTATTGGGTAATGAAATTGAGAAACAGTTGTGGCACAGAGTAGGAACCTGGATCAACAAAATGTAAGTCATCAATGTGTTAACTTGGAAGTTTAACAGAGTGAGTGTTTATTAGGGAAGATAATCAATTATAGCAGTATTGTTTTACTCCTTATTAAATTGTTACAAGTTGTTATGACTCACCGTTTGTTGTTGTTGTTGTTGTTGTTGTTTCAAAGAATATTGCAAAAAATGTACAAAATTTACAAAAATGTTCTTGCCTACCTCCATAACAATAATATTAGTACACATTTTGCACAACCATAAAAGGTAATAAAACATTACAATATCCTTCTAACCAATACACAAAGACTGGAAATTTGATATTATCGTCCTCAGTAATAAAGGGGTGCATGTAAAAAGCCCTAAGTGACCTCAGGTGGCTGGTAACTGTTTACTTCAAATTACTTGGATCGCTACTGTCATCTTCTATCACTCAGTTATTATTTTATTTTATTTTATTTACTTAATTCGCCAATGGCGGGTAAATAGACACTAGGACATTACGTCCCTTGCTAGGCCTATCTACCCAGCCCAGTCCCAGTAAGAATACAGAAACCCAAACCCAACCCACCACTAAGGTATGATCATCTACTTGACATCAAAATGTTACCATAGCAACAGCATACCCTGTATAATTAAACCACCCTTAATTTTAGTAATGTGTGTAATTTGCCAAGGTTTTATGGCTTCGTAATAAACACAATAGTTCCAGCTGTGTTATAGTATAACTTATACACTGTACAAGCTCCAACACTGGAAACGTGCTTGTTGAACATTTTTACAACGTGAATTTGCTACATTTTCGTATGATGGTCATGACTTGAAAAAATGACACTGGTAATGAATCTATATAGCGCATTTTCCATGCGTATGTGTTCAAATGCGCTTTGCAATTGAGATTGAGATTGGGTGTCAGTGTGTAAAGGCGCCTATGGCAGCCGCTATCAGTCCATAAATGATCTCACCCCACCCACCCAACGCATGTGAGTGAGCAGTCACCACAACACCGGGGAATACGTTCCCTACTCTTTTCGAACAGTGATGTGGGTTTTTTATGTCTCCTACTAATTTAGTATGAGAGGGTGTAGGAGACAATTCCAACGGCTCAACGTCACCGCCCATTACATCATGCTCATTTTTCTCGTTTTTCAAGTTCTATCTCGTCAGACATTCCTAACGCCCACAAGAAATTAACTTATGGTCACATTTCCTCTTGGCTAGCGCCACATATAGCAACTATCAAAAACCATATTTATTCACAAGTTTCGTTCGAGAAAGTAGCTTGCCAGAAATGAAATGCAGACGCAAGGCGCGTGATACAAATGACTACCAGAAAGGTCTATTCAAATGCTGAAATCATTTCCTGAAACCATTCCACAGCTAATTCGGTCATCTTCAAACACGATTCCTACATTATTATTATTTTTTAAGAAAGTGTAGCACACGATTTTCGGCGGAAGAAATTCGATGGTGGAATCTCTTTGTAAGGAAGGAGGAAGCACACAGGTAGAAGTGAGAGAAGATGTCAAACCGGGAGATAAAGAAGGAAGGTAAAAATAATTATACTAGAAATACGTGTCTCGCAGCACCTCACAAAGGTAGGGGTGGGGTACCTTGTACATTTTTGAGTAGCCTGTTGCAGGCCCTCAGTTAGTGAGGGCGAACGAACACGCGGGCGAGAGAAGGAAAGATCGAGTCCCCGCTCGTTTAATTTTCGGATTCGCTTTCGCTCTCTACTTCGCGCGCTCGCCCCCACTAAGTCTCGCGCAACGCATATTTAATCGTTCCTGTTTCTGTCTGTATTCTGACGGCAATACTGTCGAAGTCAGTGTAATTAAGAAAAAAGGACCCTGGGCCGCCTGGTACATGTACATCAGATTAAAAGACGAGTGCTTACACCATTAGTCCACGAGTGGTTCGTCATTCTTGTACCAAACACTATTCTCAGAAATCAGTACGAACGTACCGTGTATATAAAGTCTACACGAAACTTGATCCAGCCTGAGCTTCGCGAGGAATCCTTCTACCACCCATAAGGAAAAATCGCGTTGAACGATATATTTCGTTTCAGTGAATTCAGCTTTCCTGTAGATGATAAAGGTGTTGCACCACCTAACCACCACTATTTACATATGTGTCGGTTTCTGTCACAAAAAGTGTATTACAGTGTATTACAGTGTACTTAATTATAAATTAACTAAACAAGAGCGTTTCCAACCTGTTCCATTTAACTTTCAGTTGTTGAGGAGAGAAAAGAAGAAAACATTGGGGTAAGATGATTAAGACAAATTTATTATACTTAGAATAAGGGTAGACTTTTTTTTATTTCTCTCTGGTGTGAGTGTAACTAATCCCATGTTGAATTAATTTTGTAATTCCATTTAAATGCTTTAAACAAGTCAGTCCACAAATCCGAAAATGTATGTGAAAAAATAACTCGACAAATGCTGCGTTTGTTTTCATATCTGCTAATTTTGTTGGCTACTTTTACTCTTTTCTTGGGCGGTGATTCTAATTTTATTGGCCTTGAATTCAGTTATCGAATGAATATACAACTGCAGCATTTTTGTTGCATGACCAACGTGTACACAGGGCTGTAAATAACAGTCGGTCATCGGACAATGACCGACCAAAATTTTCTATGTCCAATGAAATCCAAACTGTGGTCGGACATAATGTCCGGACAATTTTTTTTGCCCTCCAACGTAAACGCCAACGAGTTTTATTCTAAATGCAAACTACATGTAGTTTACTCTGCGATGACAACACGTTAAATTAGCAGGTTCGCTTATCAAGCAATACTGTAATATGATGTCCGACCTCATTTTTGTTTTGTCCGACCAAAATTTTTCTTAGTCGGACACATGTCCTTTCAAGAAAAAAAAGTTATTTGCAGCCCTGTGTACTGTACGTGTGGTACTGTTTTGGACATGGATATTCTAATAGTTTGCTTTTAGTTGGAACGGTAATCTATAACGTTACGAGACGCTTTTCTAGGAGAAAGGGACATTTGTATTAAATTCCCGGTCATTTCGTAACTGACTTTAATACGTATTAAACTTAAACGACGGTGTACGTCCTGACCCTACGCGTATATATTTGTTTAACAGCAGGTTTCTTGAGTCGGTAAGTCGTCAAACGACAGCTCTTTCTTCTTCAACTCAGTGAAAATCCAAGATGTTTTTTTTGAAGGGAAGTAAGGAAAGGAGGTGGCCTGATAACAAGCATGAACCATAACCAATAATTATGACTCCTGTAACAAATCAATATGGATTACAAAACAAACTGCCAGCTAGACCAAATCAAATTGGTGTAAACATGACGCGCAACGCAGTGTTTTGACATGTTATAATTTGTGGCGATCTGATTTGAAACCGTCAGTTTGCGTATTTCTGAATTATTCATAGTCGAACTAGACTTGCCATCGACACTACTGCGCTTTCGAAACGCTCCGTTTTCATCGAAAACGCATCAAAAGCTCCGCATCCACACTATCGTTTTCGTAGCGTTTTCCCCGTCCAAACGAATACGCTCGAAAACGCTACAACAGTCATCTGCGCATGCGACAAATAGACGCGGTCGCGATGTTTGTGGCATGAATGACGTCAGTTTTTTTAGAAAGCCTCCGTTTTCGCTGTCCACACTGATATATGATAGGGCTCCGTTTTCAAATTTCTCCACTCTGGACAGCGTTTTCAAATGTATACGTTTTCCTTGAAAACGCCCAGCGTTTTCGATCGTTGTCGTGTGGACGATAGGCGAAAACGCATCGTGTGAACGAGGCCTTCAGTTGAGTTACGAGCGCGCATCGCGTCGCCGTCGAAACCAGGAAAAATAATTTTTGAAAGGACTTTTAGAAAGTCTACAGTTAAACCAAAGGTACTGAAAAATTCCGGTAATAGTAATATATTTGTCCAAAAGGCTTTTTTGGTGGGCTTATCGGGTGGGGGAGTTTATTATCAGAAGCAATGCTGCGTTTCAAAAATGTTTAGCTAATGTTTGGGCCTACAAAATGTATATTTAGAAGGATTTTGCGTCTGAAATATGTTAGGTACATACCATAATACTGCATAGAAAAAACTCTCTAAAACATAACGATATATGAAACACAAATTAAAACAAGTAATATAAACATCGCAAGTCCTTGTCGATACTGTAATGACATCTAATGACATCTAAAGAGCTGTGAAGTAAAAGCTGATGATAATTGATGGTAGAATCTACTCTACTTCTTGTGCAACAAAGAAG